GGACGCCTGAGGCCCCACCCCGGCCAGGCCGACGGGCAGCAGGACCAGCTCCGGGCCCCAGCTGGGCCGCCCCTACTGCAGCCCCCCAGTGGGCAGCGGCAGCCCTCGGGCAGGCTCTGGGAGGGAGCGAGAAGGTGGGAGGCGGCCGAGTCCGGCCAGGGATCCAGTCCCCCTCCCCCACCAGAGAAAGGCCACCGCCAGGAGGCTGAGAACTTTATTTGGCTTATAAAACTCCACGGGCTAAGAACGTGCTTCAAGCAGACCGGAAGCCCCGAATGCCGGCCCCAGGGGCCCCGAGCTGGACCACCTCTGGGGCGCTAGTGACCCCGGGGCTGAGAGCCGGCCATGGCCCGCCCAGGCCTGAAGGCTGCAGCCCCGGAGAGGGCGGCCCTCACTCCGGGAGCCGGCGGCCCCCGCGCCAGCCTCGGTTGTCCCTCCACACACAGTAGTTGAGTGTGGCCGCAAAGGCCAGCCAGGCCAGGTACGGGTAGAGCAGGCGGGCGGCGGGCGGGCTCACCCGGTGCCAGGCCACGGCCGTGGCGGCCGCCACCCCACCCGTCAGCAGGAGGTCCACCAGGGCCTGTGGAGACATGGGGGGGATGGGGAGGCCTGAGGTGCCAGGGCCCTGGGCCGGGTGACCCAGCTGCCCACCACTGCACTCCAGGGGGCCCCCATGCCCGGCGGTCGGGGCCGCCACTGAGGGGCTCTGGCCCCCAGGAGCTCCTGAGGAGGCGCTGACATGAGCCCAAGGGGTCGCCCTGCCCCATTCATCTCCAGGGACCAGGGAGACAGACCAAGGCGCACTTACCCAACCCATCTGTCGGCTGCCGAAGAAGATGGGGGGCCACGCCCAGTTCAGGGCCAGCTGCCCAGTGTAGAGGCCCAGGGGCACCACGGCCTCCTCCGAGAAGCCCCCCAGCTCTCTCCAGACCATGTAGGAGCCATACCTAAAACAGAGGCTGCTTCAGGGCACCCGCGGGGAGGAGGCCAGGCCAGGGCGGGAGCCGTGCCCACCTCCGGGCCACGCCCTCCACTGGCTGCTGTGTGGCCTCGGGGAGCTGGCTTGAGCTCTCTGAGCCTTCCTCTCTCACAGGGTTGCTATGGGGATCGGGGCGTGCCTGGTACACGGGACACTCGACAGTGACCCACCGACACCATCATCCTCTGTGTTGTAAAGGAAGAAGCTCGTCCCACCGCAGCTACTGCACAGGGGACGACGGGACATGTGGGCTGGGCCTTGGAGGACGAACAGAGCTCACGGGGAGGAAACTGGGCGGGGGGAGGTGTAGATTGCTGCATCAGCCCCTGGGCTGGGGGCGCGGGGGGAGGCCGCAGAGGTGGGCCCTGCCCCGGCCTGAGCGTCCCCAGACCCAGACAGCTGACACAGGCCAGGCCCTGCCCCCTCTGGCCAAGAATGACTCATCTCATCCTCTGTGAGGCCATGGGGGGCCTTATGGAGGAAATTGAGGCAAGGGGAAGTGACTCAAAGTGACTTCTTGGCAGATAATCTGCAAGCAGAGCCAGGACTGGACCCAGGTGTGGGGGCCAGAACCCCGCTCTTCAGTGCCTGACGGGTTTGACCTTATCAGGAGCCGGGCTGGGGGTGGGGGACTCAGAAGGGCAAGGGGACCACACAGGCCTGATCAGGACCAGGACCTGGAGGTGGAGGGTGGGCGAGGAGGGAGCCCTGGGGCTGG